ACAAAAGGTTAAATTACATTATGAATTACAAAATTCATATGTACCTTTAAAAAATTTCAATCACCCTGCTCCTTATCAGACTGATAACATATCAAAGTTATTAGAATCTGATAAACGAGTAATTTTTTAAAAACCAAATTATAAATTTGATTTGAAAATTTTCAAAAATAGTAAATTATTAAAACAGAAATAGATAAAACATAATGTATCTTTTAATGAGCAAATTTTATAACTGGACTTATTGAACAAAATGGCTCTAGGTCCTCCAAAACCTAGTTTTTTTGTTTTATCTCTCCTATATTTTTCTTCTCTTTTCCCCATTTTTTTTCTTTTCCTTCTTTATTAATGAAGGGCAAATTGCATTTAATAAAAATCCGTAATGGTTTTTAGAGTTTTTTTTTTTTAGTAAAATACGTGAAGGCCGTTTTAACCATTATGCTAGATGTTTAATTTTTGACATAAAATTCATATAAATCCTTTTATAACTTAAAATTTGGGTATCCAAAAATTATTTAAAAATAATAATAAAATAGTCTTGCATGTCTTGACAACTCTAATTAAATCGGCTTGCAAAATAGACACCTAATAGTCATAGAAGACCCCATTTACTATATGAAAATCGCCCATTACAGTCGGAACTTTCAGTGGCCTTCCAGCATACTATTTTCCTGTAGATTTTTTGCTGGATTTCCGATGGATTACGATGAAATATTTCTGACTGATTGCAGGAAGTTTTCCTACTGATTTGTTTCCGGTGGATTTTAATAATTTTTTAAGAATTTATATTTTTGTAATTTAATAAATTAATAATTTAATAACCTATGTTTGAATCACCACGTGGATATATAGGCAGGCGGGTGGGCAGCACGGATAAGTGGGTAGGACGTTGGGCAAGGTTGACGGGCATGCAGGGTAGCTTTTGTGTGCGGGCAGTGCGGACGGGCAGGCTGGTAGCTGCCGCGAGAAGGTGGGCGCGCAGTAATATATTTTAATTTTTTTTAGTTATTTCGTTGGCTTTTTTCAGCCGGGTAGCAACCAGAAATATTTTCAAGTAACTTATTTCGATAGAAAATTTTTTTGATGCTCCTTTTATAGACGAATTTTTTTTCGCCTGAGATAAGAGGGAAAACATTAAAATCTGCCTAAAAATAAAAAATTTTCAGCAGGAAATCAGCCAGTAATACTTGATTTTCTTGTAGTGTTTGTATCAATATATATTAATTTCTTAAGGAGTTTTAGTAATACCCATAAAATTAGGGAGAAAATATTATAATTAGAGTGTAACATTATCTATGTTATGGTGAAGAGATGATTTACAAATTAGACTTATAATGTATCTTGAGATATTATTTGACTTTTGTACATTAAAATATATCTCTTAAAATTTAAGGGTTATTACAGTTATAGCTATCCCAAACAACCCTCAAACTTATAATTAATCTTGGTAGACTATATGTTAAGGGGTAGTTGTTGTAAAGTTATCTATTTATATCATTCTTTATTTAAAAAAATACATCAAATTTTACTAGCAAACATAATTTCACTAAAAGACTTAACAACCATCTAACATTATTAATTTCATTTTGCAAGGACTTATGATATTTTTATCACTTACTCCAAGAAGCATGCCCCATGATTAAGTACTCCTCCTGATAATGAGAGAAAACTTTCGATTAAAACTAGCTAGCCATTATATGCTAAATTGTAATATTCTAATAACTGCTATTTTAGATGTTATTGTCATAATGTTTTATATTAAATTGATTTCGATAAAAAAATAGAAACTGTTTATAAGGAAATAGAAGAATGAAAACTCATTAATGCAAGATCTCAATCAACACCGTTGAATTCTTTGGCCGTCTTCTTGCATTAACAACCCTAAAAATTCTCTTCTTGAGCTCCCTCTCTAATCTCCAAAGAACCCACCATATGCTGCTAATACAAATGACTCCCAAAAATCCTAAAAACATTGCTTATAAAACTCTCTAATATCTACTTCAGAAAAGGAAAGAAATTGGATATAAATAAGGTAAAAATGAGCTGGTATCCAGTCATCCCCTAGGAAAACCATGCTCTTTATATGCAGGCTCAAAATTCAACTTCTTGCATGTTTTGAAATATAGGATGGGACCTAACACAACTCAACCCAATATAACCCACTATCCTGAAGTGGGTTGCACTGCATTGAGATCATGATAGTAGACCTAATACTTCCCAAGACCTAGTTGGAAAGATTTTTCTTGTTATATTTCTTATTTTATTTTCTTCAACATTTACTACATTGAACCATCTAATTCATCAATTATAAATAAAAATAAAGCATTAATTTTATTTCATAAAATTGTACTTTTAAAAGAAAATATACATCAACCATAATTCATTTTTATTTTTCATTGAAAACATAAGTATGCTTATAACTATTAAAAGAATACCTAGACTGGAAATACCTAAATCCAAAACTCAACCTAGGTCAACAGTTTCTATCAATAGAATATACTCAATTGGGGCATTACCTTTGCTTGAAAACATATATAAAAGCATAGGGTAAGCAAACTACTTGCTATGTAAGTTATTGAAGACTACTACTATAGGGGGAGCTCTTTCATTTCCACATTTCTTCTCTCTAGAGTGAATTATTTGGAGAAGCTCTAAGATGCTGGGAGGTGACATAGGGTCTCTTCTTCTCTCCAAGGAAGATTTTGATGAAGGGAAAGCTTGGATCAAAGGCCTGGTAGAGGTTCAATAATTATTTCACTTATCTTCTATACATTTGGTGCATTTTTCTTGCTATTGCTTTTTCTTATGATTTATTTTTCAAATTTGAGAATTTTCCAAACTAATTTTTTCCTAACTCACTTTATAATTTTTTCAACATTGTAAGTTAGGATTAAAGCATGATCAAGATTAAATATGTGACATATTTTGAAAAGATAAATTTCATATAAACATTATTAACTTATTTTAGCATATTTTTTATGTATTTAAACATAAAAGAGGTTAAATAAATAATCTTAATATATATATATGGAATGTTATTCCCTCTAGGATGAGACTATTAATTATCTATATAAGATGTTCCAAAATTTTTTATTTTTTATTAAAACCCATGGAAGGAGCCTTCATGTTAATTCAAAAAATGGATACAAGTCCTTAAGGGGACCTAGAGTTATTAATGCTCAAAGAGATACATCTAAAGCAAAAATAAACCTAAGAGATTAAGATCTCTACTAAATTAGAAAATGAAAAAAAAAAAAAACTAAGGGGCAACAAGGAGCCACTACCCAAAAAGTAGCCAGAGTCTAGAACTGCTTAAAAGCATAGCAGCCATAGCAGAAGCGAACCACCTAACCCAGCCTAGCTGACCAAAATCCAAAGACCCAAACCATGATATATACCTACAAGAAAAATAAACCTCCGAATAAAATCAAGTAATCACATCATTAATAAATAAATAAACACAACACCAATCATAAGTAGACCAATAAGGTGACCAAAACCTACAACAACCAGCCAAGGAACCTTCAACAAAACACCGAGCCCACCATAACAGGGTACCACACCAAAAAGATAAAAAACTAAACTCACTAACAACCAACCAAAAGACACCAACCACCAATCAAGCAGGTGCCATGTAACAAAGGGCCCCAACCACAAGGCTAATAACACTATAAGAATCAAACCCCCACCTCCCCCACCCATCCCCCCCGAAGAAAAAAAAAGTGTCCCATCATGACCAAATGATTTGTAGTGTTCACAAAAATCAGGAAACTCCTCCATCTCAACTTGTTTAATATATCCAAATTTTTCAGGCCCAATCCCTACACTATTAGGATATCATTTAGGGTTATCGAATTTGACCAAAACACTAGCAACCGAGGGACAAGTCCCATTCGACGTAGCATCAATTTTTAGAGGGCGACCAAACAATGATCACAATCCATGTAGTATATGGGGAGAAAAAAAATGATGTCAAATGTTAGGGAAATGTACTTAAATAGGGATAATGGGAGATTCCACAACAATGTCGAAAAATGATAACATTTGATCAACTTCGTAAAGCATTTATAGACTAAATACGAATGATGGTCAAAAACTCTACTATAATCCATGTCATTTATAAGTTTGATCAAGACATGCCTTAAATTCAAGAGGGTAACTGAGAAATCACCTCTAAGCTTATGATTAAAGAAAAATTTTTGAATTGGGTCCAGATTAGGTATGCGATTAGGAAATTTACTAATTAATTTGAATTCAAAAGGGGATGCAATAGCAAGGATCTCATCTTCCAAAATCCAAAGCTATAACAACCCATGATGGGTTGTAGTTTTGTAATAAGGAAAAACAACTAAAGAAGAGGCACCTGAAAGGGCATCAATAAAAGAGCGAGAAGCCTTTTTATCATTTAAAAAGCTAAGATCATCCAACCGAACCTGGTTAACTTCCATTTGATCTATATGAACAGTTGAAGGTGGAGTGATCATGGAAAAACAAACATGAACATCCAAAATAATAATTGAGCTAAAATATATTAATATTTCATTAAATTAGATTAAAGGGTTAAGTGCCATATATATCTTTATTTTTAAATAAAAATATTTAACTTTTTGTAAGCATTTTATGAGACAATACTTTTCCTAAAATTTTCAAGGCATCGGATTTATGAGTATATATAATTTTTGGAGCAAATTATCTCATTTGTTTCATATAAACTTCAAATTTTTTTATTTCATGTAATTAAAACAAACTCCAAATAATTCTTTAAGTCAAGAAAAAGAAGATGATTCTACGTACTAGCTAACAAGATTTCACATAAAGACTCAACTGTGACCTAACATTATTAATATATTTTCTTCAAAAAAAAAAATAAAAGAGGAAAGTACATATTTAAATAAAAAAACTATTAGGTATTACCTAAAAATTTGTCCAATAAAAATTAAATATGGACTTATAATACAAAAAATATTCATATTACATGCTTAGCAAAGATTAAGATATTTATTTTATGAAAGTGATGGTGTAAACCAGATTGATGGAGGCCAACTAATCCATGGATTTGGGAGAAGGAAATATTGAATTCTATCATTGTAAATATCAAAAAGCCCAACATCACAATCAACATATCCTGGCAACATGTTCCTTGAATGATCGGTGAAATATATGCAATTTGGTTTAATTCCGGTAGCAACCGTGTGATGCAAAGAAAATGTCTGATTATAACCCACAAAAAAGGAGTATTCCTCTAACTCGTTGACGGGGATCCATTGAGAGTAAGAAGAAGAAGAAGTAACAACAGATGGCACAAACTTGAAAACAAAGATAGCCGTCGTTGTATTGTAGCTATCATAGGTAGCATCAATCACCCTCTCTATTTTTAAAAGAGTTTCTGACAAAAAGGAAATATAGTACATACGATAGAAATTACTGGTGCGAAAGTATGGGTTGGGCATATTTGGGCAGATCAATTCAATATTTTGTCCATTGAGGTCAAAAGAAAGCACCATAGAAAAATTTGTGATTGCAAAAAATCTTTGATTTTCTTCATGATAGCAAACATCCTCAAATTGCTCCTCATCCTTCGGGCTATAAGGAGATAATTGTGGCCCAAGAACCCAAGTCATATCTTGTAACCTTGCCAAAGCAAGCTCTTTTGTAATGCCATAGATAACAACAATAGTTCCAGTAGAGTCATTAGACGAGACAATGAACTTATGAAAATATATATCACGAAAGTCATCAGTCCTAATGTCCCAGAAAATATCATTGCACGTAATCCTAATGGAGCCGTCAGGGGCATATTGTGGGTCAATCAAGGTCAAAAGGGATGGGAGCGATATTTCAGCCTTTGAGACTGGGTTGAAGAGGCAAGGCTGTAGATCTATTTTGTCAAGGGTCACAAGCCATCCATCCTTGGAGCCGAAACAACGGCGATCATAGGTGTGGCTACCGATGGAGGAGAAGCTACGTTGGAAGCTGACGACAACTTCTTCTCTTTCTATGGTAAGTTCGTGGAAGGTGAGTGTGTCGGAGGCCTCTTCGTCATCATTGGAAAGGAGCAACCATGGGGAGGGACGACATTGAAATCCAAGAATTGCATAGTTGGTAAGAGTGAAATTCCATGAGGTGCAGACAACAGATAATCGGACTAAGTCTACAATGGACAAGTGTGATGAGATGCAACAGAGGAGATCTATGGGGAGATCAGACCATGCCATAATATTATTGTATTTGCGTTGTCCAATGGAGGACAGGAGCCGTGGTGCCTTCCAACACTACCACCCAACTCTACCACGCTCGGACAAAAATTAATAAGAGTTGGAATGAAATATGCAATCTTTGTTAGAGATATAAATATGTGGAATATAATGAGTATTTGTGGCAAATATTCAAGTGTATTAATTTTTCTTCTCATTTGGGGCTAATGAAATTGGCCAACTGGCATTATCCATAAATGAGTATTTGTGGCATAATTCATGTCGTAAAAAATAAATTTATATTTTAAAATTAAATATTTATTTTTAAATTAAAATTTTCTTATATTGCATGTAATTTATTAGGAGATCCAACGAGACTATTTCTGTCAAAAAATGACATTCTTTTAAGAGGTCTTGAAGCGATTTATTCTTAAATATTAAAATGAGTGGAAGATGAGAAAACATATATTGTATATGTGTTACCTCAGACAAAGGTATTTATTTAGAATAGTTTTATTATTTCAGTTTACAAAATGAATTTGGTGTCTTATTGGCTCTTTTATTAGGCCGAAAATAGTTTGTTTTTAATAATATTATAAATTAACAAAATTTTTGTTCAATTTAGTTAATATAATAAAATTTATGCTCAATTTAGTAAATGAAATTTTATTATTTTGGTAATATGGATACCATTCTCTGATTCTGATTAAAAGAGATCCCATTGATGGAAGGGATGATGAAATTAAAAAAAAGGTAAGTTGTTCATCATCACCAATTATTTGATAGAGAAAATATTAAAGTAAAATAATGCATGCATGGTGCATGTGTATTGCCTTTGTTAGAAAGTAAGCAATAAGATTGGAAAATAAATATCATATGTCTTTTCCACCCTTTTCCTTCCTCCCTTCTCTCCATTTTGGATATCATTTTGCTTATGGTTCATTATGATTTGAAAATTAAAATATTTGGATCGAATTCTTCATCAATCAAATATTTATAAATATGTGCAAAATCATGGCTTTGAGTGCTTTTGAAATTATTCTGAATGCTTTTTGTTCACTAATTTGAAATGTTTTCAACAATATGCAATCCATGTCTTTGTGACTGGTGCTATTGCTAGGAGAGTGTGGCATCATTTTTTTTAACCTGGTTGGTTTTCATACTTTTAATTTTGATTGTGATTTAGCTGTGATGCTTAAAATGTGGTTTATTACTAGCAAAGGTCATATCCAGAACATTTTGCCTATTGTTATAATTTTGTACCTTTGGAAAGGTAGAAATGATTCTAAACACAATGAGATTAAAATGTATGCCAATAATATTATTTCTAATGTGAGGGATAAAATTCTGCAGTTAATATTTCGATTAATCTTATTTCTAGTAAACATTTTTTCAACTGTAATCTACTGGCTACTCACTTTGGTGTCACGTCTGGGTCTACTATTGTGAGCAAGCCTGCCTGTATTGTTAATAAACCTAAGGCTCAGGCTGTTAAATTGAATACTGATGGCTCTATTAGTGCTAATAATGCGGGTTTGGGAGGTATTATTAGCGATCATTACGGCAAACCTCTGCGTGTTTTTTTTGGACCTCTGTTGCCTTGCTCTGTTTTGTCGGCTGAACTTATGGCATTGCACGAGGGGTTAGAGATCTGTATGAAGTATGGTTATCAGGTTATCAACATTGAGGTTGATTCTAAACTTCTTTTGCATGTTATTTCTAGTATTTCTGTGGGTTGTCTTCAGGATTTCTATACTATTAGAAAAATTAACACTTTCCTTGTTAATTTAAACTACAATATTACTCATGTTTACCGTGAAGGCAACACTTGTGCTGATTGGCTGGCGAAGTTTGGTGCTCACAGTAACTTGTTCTTGGAGCATAATCTGAACAATTTACCTGCTCCCCTTACTCGCATGATTTTTTTGGATAAATTGGGTCTTCCCTATATCCGTCACACTTGATTTTGTTGGGTTTAGTTATGTTTTGATGTCTGTCTTTCTGCAGTTTGGGGGGTATTTGCTTCTTCCTATTTTTTGGTGGCTGATTTTATTATTTGCTGTTTCGTCTTATTTTACTAGGTTGGTTGTGGAGTGCCCTGTCTGATTTTTGGATGTTTGGAGTAGTTCTGGGCGTGCCATAATTCATTCCAGATGGTTTTTGTATTATTATTTTCTGTATACGAGCGGGGAGGTTTTTATGTGCTATACTTGTGTCATTGTTAATTTTTATTTTTTTGGGCATCTTCCTTATGCAAGCAAGTTGGGGTTAATTTTCTGTGGGGATCACTAAGTTATTGGGTCTATATGCTGATGGGGAGTTTGAAGATTAGGTTGAAGATGTTTTGTGCTGAGAATTGGACCGACTTTCTGATTTGGTGGGGGTATTGTTGGGTTGCTTATGGCTGCAAGGTTATCTGTGGTAATCGTATCTGGAAATTTTGTATTTTTTATTTTGTTGCTTTTAACTTACTTCTCTGGAGCTTTGTTTGTAGATCATCTTGCTCGGCTTTTTGGATCCTAAATATAAGTAAGTTAATTGCTGTTTTTCTTCTAGTTCTTTGGATCCTTATTTTCCTTTTTTCCAGGAAGTGTGAGCTGAATGATATCTATATGAGCTTCCTTTTTTGGGTGCTGATTGTTTCCAGCCCTAGCTTTTATTTTTGTTTCTATTGTAATTGTAGGAAATTGGACCACCGGCTTTTAGGTTTTATTTTGTTTTTTTTGTAGATCTTTGGAGTAGTAGAAAGCTGGAGGACCCTTCTAAGGACTTATGTAACCGTTTTAATTATATCAATGCGTAGGCCCCTTCTGTGGGTTTTAACCCAAAAAAAAAATGTTTATATTATGCATTTGTTTGAGGGTTTGATTATTTAAAATGCATGCTAAAATAACATGGTTTACAAAGATTGCATAAAAATTAGACTCTTAACCACACTTTCGCGTGCCATATATCAATTCAATACTTTGTCCATTAAGGTCAAAAGCTAGGACCATTGAGAAATGTGTGATTGCGTAAAATCTTTTATATTCTTCTTGGTAATAAACATCTTCAAATTGCTACACATATCATGGCGTAAAGAGCCAATTGTGGGCCAAGAACCCATGTATTCGCCTTGCCAAAGCTAGAGATTTTGTACACTCGTAAATAGCAATAGCAACTCCTAACAAGTCATTAGAAGAGATAATGATATTCTAAAAATATATATCACGCAAGCCTTCATCGTCTGTGCTAAAGTATGAGTAAATTTCATTACAAAAAATTTGATGGAGCCGTCGGGCAATATTGGGTCTCTATCATATGCCCTTGATCTTTGAGGATGGTGAAAAGAGATGGGAGCAAAATTTTGGCCTTGGTGAGAGGGTTGAAGAGGAAAGGTTGTAGATTTATTTTGTTAAGGGTCACGAGCCATTCATCCTTGGAGCCAAAATAGCAACGACTGGAGAGGTGACTATCAAGGGAGGAGAAGCGACGATGGCAACCGACGTAAGCTTTTTCTTCTTTGATTGTAAGAACCTATGTTGAGCGGTATTTCACCATCTCTCAAGAATGAGATTTTTTTGACTAATTTATGATCAAAATATATTGATCACATTCTTCCCTATCAAAAGCTCCATTATAAGAAATTTTAACTAAGCCTTTTAAATTCCTTGTATTTGGGTTGGTTAAAATTATAATATACATTTGTAGTAATTATTATTTATATTATTAATTTAATTATATGCCCATCTAAGACATATTTCTTTTGTTTAAATAACTAATAAAAAATGATTAATCTCCATAGGTGACCTCCAAATAAAATTATATCATGAATTTAACTATGATCAAAGAAGGCCACTAATATAGATACAATTCCAAATAGTGTTAGTTTTTATGAATGATTTAAAGGATGGAGAGAGACAGGAGTCCCAAATCTCCTTTACTTTTACTCATAGTTATTTGTTGTAAGGAGATAATTTGGACTTTTGCAACAATCATAAAGGAGCTTAGAATGTGAACTTTTTTTTTTTTTCCCTTATTGGTTAAAACCCACCGAGGCACCTATGTGTTTTAAAAACCAAAGAGATAGTTGTGTAATTAAAAAAAAAAAAAAAAAAAAAAAAGGTTACAAGCTCTTAAAAGGATCTAGAGTCACTAATGCTCAAAGAGCTACATCTAAAACAAAATTAAACCTAAGAGCTTAAGATGCCCACTAAATTATTAAAAAATAGAATAAAATAGAAAAAAAATAGCACAGGCCAGCTAGGAGCCACCACCCAAATGAGCTTTAGACCTAGTAGTTTTATCTTCAAAATACTTAAAATTTTTCACCAATTTTTTATATTTTATTTTTCTTCATTTTCTTGCGTATAACCATTTAGAAAAGATTATTATCAACTTGCACAACATTCAGATCAATATCATCCTAAAAAATATTACAGAGATCACCTTAATACCCTAGTTATCACCTAACTGATTACATGGGCTCAACTAGTTAGCATGATCAATAGGATCAACAGAATGCAAATCCAAATGCTAGTTTCCACCACCCAATTTCAATAATGCATCATCAGAAATAGGAGAATCGAGTATATTAATTATAGGCATCCTATTATAAACATCTAAACAACTGTGAAGAAGAAGAAGAGGAGCATCCATAAGGTCAGGAAGAATACAATTTTGAGTCTCCTAATCAAGATAATGAAGCCCCTCACCATCAACACCAGAGACCACATTCAACATGCTTTTACCAATTCGATGATCAACATATAACTTAATAGGAGAAATAGTTAATTAATTACCAGAAATATCAAAAACATGAACCAAGAATGTATTAACAGCCATAACATTACTATGCCCTCAATTTCTTCGATATAAACAATGCTTATGTTGAATACATTCGTTCATCAAATCAAGCATATATGATCAATTCACTCATATTCTCATAGGCATACACGTTTGAATATATTTAATTCTAATGCATATTTCTTCATGTTATTTGTGAGGAATATCCATTGCATATCACGTTGGGGGTGCCAACACTTTCGGACTTCAAGTGGACTCTTCTCCCAGCTCCATGAACACAAGCACATTTATGTCTAGTATATCATATCACCGATTGAGGTATGATCTTTCATATTTCAAAATTTAATTTGGAAGTTAATAACTAAGGTAAATGATGCTATTTGAGATTGCTTATGTTCTATGTCATTATATAATTCGATGCTTTCATACCATTGCATAATTTGATAATGTTAAACTCACTTCACCTATGATCCTGGTATGAGATGTTTTGTATAAGTAGAAGCCTTAGGTATTGCGACTTTACCTGTCCGCACTCTTTGTGAACTTACATATAGCTTAAATGTGACACCTTATGATATGTTCACTATCCACAAGCATGTGCACTTCTCATTTGTTAGCCTACGATTAACTACCCTACCCTCTTAGTCTATGAGGTACCCTTAGATGAGGCAACATATGGATGCTAACAAGAATCATCTAATCGACACTCGACTAAGTAGGCTAAGGGAATCGACAAATCCAGAATGAAGAAACCATGAAATCTTGACCGGGGGCATCATACTTCCTAGTTGGCAAGTTTACACCCTCTAATCATTAACCTATTTGAACACTTAGTTCATCTAAACGGCATATGTCACCTCAAAGAGCCAAATCAACGATAAACCCTTAACCACATCATATATACACAAACATATATACATGTACTTAGTAAAGAAACATAATAAGATTAGATTTACCTTAATCAAAATAATTCATAATTACATCCACATTATCGCCAATACTAAATGAATCATAAAATTGACACAAACTAACTATTAAAAAATATTAAATAACACAAACATAGCTAATACAATCTAATTCAAAATTCAATAAATTCAAATTTAAATGTGAAAGGTGGATTTTAAAAAAATGATAAGAAAGAAAGAAATAGAATAATATGATAATGAATAATTAAATAAAAATTTATTAAATTAAAAAATCTCAATTAAATTCTATAAATACATAAGACTGTAATGTACATTAAACTAGATAAATATCTTAATAAAACCCACATCTTCAGTTCCAAATTTAACAAATTGCCCAACATGCTTGAGCACTCTTGCATTTTATTCCCAATCGACCTGGTGCTGTAGAGTTTGTTGGGAGAAATGACATAGAATAGAGCATCGCAATGCTGTGTTGCTCAAGATTCGGCACCGCAACGCAGTGTATTGGCCACACCTCTGCTGGTTTGAGCATTGCAGCATCATGATGACAGAGGCTTGAGGTATACAACGCTCCAAACAAGCGCCACAATGCTGCGAGGTATGATCACAGTTTTCTTTCTCATTTTTTTGAAGGAGGGCGTCCCTTGGAGTTATTAACTTGCATTTGTCTTGTGCTTTGTGTATGAGAACGATGTAAAAGAGATGAGAAGCAAGGAGATAACAAGAGAAAAGAGAGATTTGTACATATTTCTTCCAATTTTTATAGTAAATTTCTTGGTGTGGTGTGCCTCCTTGGTTTTTTCCCTATTTCAAACTTTTCCAAATTAAATCCTGGTGTCCTTTACTTTTTGCTACTTTTACTTTCTTGTTTGTTTGTTTGCGGTGTTTCTTACTTCCAACCTCAATAATTTTTCTATTTAACATTTTTAAATTTGGTACATTTTTCTTGCTCTTGCTTTTTTATTATGATTTATTTTCTCAAATTTTAGAATTTTCCAAACTAAATCTTTCTTAACTATATAATTTCTTCAACATTGTAAGCCAGGATTAAATCATGATCAATATTTAATTAGAAAGATATTTTGAAAAGATAAATTTCATACACATCATTCACTTGTTTTAGCATATAGTGAAACATAAGAGATACATAATTCCCTCTAGAAAGAGAATGTTTACATTATCTATATAAGAAGTTTCATAAGTTCAATCTTAACTTCTTATTCATTTTTTGTGAACTAATTCTTGTTGGTGAAAATTTAATATATGGATATCGCCTTTTAAAACACATAATTGTAAGCATGAAAATAATAGTTATCAAATTCATGTAAGCTTCTATATTATTTTATTCAAATAAGAAACATATTTTTATTAGTAAATTGTACGTGAAAATATATGATTGTATGTAGGAAATTAAAATTTGTTTTTATAGTTGTATATATATTTTTTAATTATGATGTACAAAATTTTTATATTCAATGAAAATTTTTGTAAGTGTATCTTTATTTTATTTTATTTTTGTCATGATAGTACTATAGTTGTTATTTTTAATATTTTATTTAGTGAAATTGTCATAAATTTTTGGAAGGAGTATGATACAATTGTATGATGCAAAGTTAAAAAATTCACTATTTATCACAAGCCCTTACCAAACATAATGTGCGTTACACCCTAAGGGTACCTTTGTATTCATAATAGACTCCTAACATGCATCTTCATTTGTCTCTCAATTAGACTATCAATTATCTTATGTGTGTTACTTGGTACTACATTACTTCCTAGTATGTTACTTTACCAACATTGTTTGCCATCACCAAGATTGATCGTCTAAGATGCATGCATCAACTTCACCTTGAACCACCTTAATACCTATAGCATCCATGCATGTGTGACTTCATTAGAAAGAGATGAGCTCAAGCCAAACTAAAATTTAATTGAATTATATCATAAGATGGCAAGATAAAAGAGAAAACCTTACAATTGAGAGATTTGCATGTCCCTCCTTCATGAGCAAATTGTCATATACTATTTGAAAATCTTGTTTGTTGTCATCCTCTTGCCCATTACTATTTCATTCTCAATTCCCTATTTTCTAGAAGGTGAATATTCCATTATTTAGAAATTAACCTAAAAGAAACCCTTAACATTTATACCAACTCTAAGCCAAAAGCATATTTCTTCCCCAAATCTTGTGAAAACCCCTCCCTCCTTCAAGAGCAATTGGTCATATACTATTTGAAAATCTTGTTTGTTGCCATCCTCTTACCCATTACTATTTCATTCTCAATTCCCTATTTTCTAGAAGGTGAATATTCCCTTATTTAGAAATTAACCTAAAAGAAACCCTCAACATTTATACTAACTCAAAGCAAAAAGCACATTTCTTCCCCAAATCTTCCCTTATAATTAGGAGATGGCGGTTGATCAACAACACTAAGATGATAATGGTCAAATGATGGTGAAAAAGCTATTATAATCAAACAATGAGTGTTTTTCATTAATGATTGGGTAATAATAGTTTGATGATGTTGGATGATCATGTAAGGATGATGACATTCAGACATTATATATAATTATAAAAAATATATACTTAAGTTTTCTCATAAAAAGTGTACACTTTTAATTAGATAGGAATGATGCATCTAAATTATATAAGAGGATAAAATCTTATTTATTGCTTTATATATATATATATATATATATCCTTGAGTAATAGAACAATTTCTTCTAACATGAAACCATCCATGAATTTTTTCAATTTAAATCTACATTAAGTGATACAATAGTGACTAGTTAAATTTTTTATATTGTAAATATTCTTTATTTACATGCAAAGGAGTTGCAAATGACAAAGATTTTTGTCGTTAAATATTTTTTTCATTGATATCATTGATTACTATTAAAATAATATTTAGCTAAATTATATTGATATTGCCTTACAAAGATTTGTTTATGTATTTCCTCACACAATACATTTTCTAAAATAATTTCAAGGCGTACAATTTTGGGAGCATTTTCTCTCATTCTTTTCATATAAGCTTCATTTTTTTTCTTTTGAAGTAGTTAATTTTTATGTTTTCTGCTCCAAATCATTCTTTACATGTAAAAAGAAGCTAATTATACTCAAAACAAATATAAAAGAGGTAAGTACATGGTTAAATAAAATAACTACTCAGTATTACCTAAAAAAGTGTCCAATAAATACTAAAAATAGACTTATAATCCAAAAATATTCATATTACATGCTAGCAAAAACTAAGATATTCAATGTATGAAAATGATGGTGTAAACCAAATTGATGGAGGCCAATTAGTCCGTGGATTAGGGTGAAGGATATACTGAATGCGATCATTATGAAGATCACAAAGTCCAACATCACAATCAACATTACCTAGCAACATGTTGCTCCAATGATCAGAAAAATATATACAATTTGGTTTAATTCCAGTAGCAACTGTGTGATCCAAAGAAAATGTCTGATTACAACCCACAAAAATGGAGTATTCCCCTAGCTCATTGATGGGGATCCATTGAGAGTAAGAAGAAGATGAAGAAGTAACAACAGAAGGCACAAACTTGAAAACAAAGATAGCCATCGTTGTCGCATTATGGTGCCTATTATGAGTAATATCAATCACCCTCTCTATTCTTATAAGTGTTCCTGACAAAAAGGCAATATAGTACATATAATCAAAGTTTATTGTGTGGTAGTAATTGTTGGGCCTATTCGGGCAGATCAATTCAACATTTTCTCCATTGAGATCAAAAGCAAGCACCATAGAAAAATTTGTAATAGCGTAAAATCTTTCATTTTCTTCATGATAGCAAACATCCTCAAATTGCTCATCGTCCTTCGTGCTGTAAAAAGATAATTGTGGCCCGAGAACCCAAGTTAGATCTTCTGACCTTGCTAAAGCAAGCGCTTTTTTAATGCCATAGATAACAACAACAGTTCCAGAGGCGTTGTTAGAGGAGAAAATGAACTTATGAAAATATATATCACGTAAGTCGTCAGACATAATGTCAAGCAAAATTTCATTGCAAGAATTCCTGATGAAGCCATCAGAGGCAAATTGTGGCATGATAAAGTCATAAAGGGATGGGAGCAATATATTAGCCTTTGTGATAGGGTTGAAAAGGCGAGGTTGTAGTTCTATTTTGTCAAGGGTCACAAGCCATCCATCCTTTGAGCCAAAACAGCGGCGACCATAGGTGTTGTAAGTGATGGAGGAGAAGCGACGTTGGAAGCTGATGATAGCTTCTTCTCCTTCTATGGTAAGTTCGCGGAAGGTGAGTGTTCCGGAGGCCTCGTTTACATCATTTGAAAGGAGCAACCATGGGGAGGGACGACATTGAAATCGTAGGAGTGCACAGTTGGTGGGAGTGAAATTCCATGAGGTGCAGACAAGAGATAATCGAACTAGTTCTACAATGGACAATTGCGATGAGATGCGACGAAGGAGATCTATGGGGAGATCAGACCATGCCATAATATTATTGTATTTGTGATGACCACTGGAGTAAAAGAGTCGCGGTGTCTTCCAACACTACCACACTTGAACAAAAATTAATAAGAGTTGGAGTCAAATATGCAATCTTTGTTTGAGATATAAATGTGAAATAGAATATGTATTTGTGGCAAATATTTAAGTGCATTAATTTTTCTTCTCATTTGGGGATAATGAAATTGGCCAACCAGCATCATCGATAAGTAGAATAGGGTGTTAAATTCATGTTAGAAAAATTAAATTTATTATTTTAAATTTTAAATTTTAAATTAAAATTTTTCTTTTATTGCATGCAATTTATTAGGAGTTCCAACGAGACTATTTGTGATTAAAATTGGCATTATTTTAAGGGGTCTAGAAACAATTTATTCTTAAATAGTATCATGAGTGGAAGATGAGGAAACATATATTGTATATGTTTTACCGCAGACAAAAGCATTTATTTACAATAGTTTTATTATTTTGTTATACAAAATGAATTTGGTGTCTTATTGGCTCTTTCATTAGCTTGGAAATAGTTTGTTTTTAATAATATTATAAATTAATAAATTTCTGATCAATTTTGTTCATATAATAAAATTTCTAATCAATTTAGTACATGAAATTTTATAATTTTACTAATATGGATACCATTAACTGATTATGATTAAAAGAGATCCCATTGATGGAAGGAATACTGAAATAAAAAAAAATAGGTAAGTAGTTCATCATCGCCAATTAATTGATAGGCAAAATATTAAAGTAAAACAATGCATGCACGGAGCATGTATATTGCCTTTGTATTTTCCATGGCCACCCTAAACCCTAAATAAGGTAAGTAGTTCATCATCGCCAATTAATTGATAGACAAAATATTAAAGTAAATAATGCATGTATGCTGCATATATGTATATGGCCTTTGTTAGAAAGTAATCAACAAGATTGGAAAAGTGATATCATTTGTCTTTTCCACCCTTCTTCCTCCTTCCTTGCCATTTGTGTCTAGACAGAGCTTCATCTCTGTTAGACTCTCTCTTAGTCTTAGGGACGAAGATGGAGGCATTTGTGATTGGTCTGTTGGAACGATGGAGCCTACTTTGTTAGATTTAATTTAGATTAAGCATTTTGAATACTCAAGTATAAAATTTAAATTTATTAATTCAAAAATTTCTATTTCTTTTATATATAAAATTATCTTTCATTCTATATGGCTCATTAAAAGATCTAATAAGACTTTTTTGTGTCAAAATTTAAAATAAATATTCTTAATTAGATAAACTTAAATGAAATTAAAACTCAATCAAAAGGAGCTACAATGCCTTCTAGCTCAATGCTTATATATATATATATATATATACCTTTTTGGGACATATAGGCTATTCAAGGAAAAATATACAAATAGTACGTACACAAGTTTCAAACTCAAGACCTCTTGGTTTGATAACCGAAGCTCCCAACTAACACATCAACATGAGTTGCACATTTGTCAGGATGTGCTACAGACTGCTTACTTTTAGAAGAAGTAGATGTTAGGAAGTACAATGTTTGATCTGCAATGGGCAATAACCTAAGAAATGTTGTAGTTGCTTGTGATAGGAGGGAGATAATTGTTGGTTAGATGTTGCCATTGTAGTTGAAGCTACAAGAAGAGGCGCTAGGCTTCAATTTAGGTAGCTATGAGGTCGAATGAAGGTTCTAGCAAGCAAGGTGATAGACACGTGAGTTGATGGCAAGGAGAGAATTAGGCTATTATGAGCTAACAAAAGGAGGTTTTGCTCAGCCCAAAATGTGGGATGGAATCGGACTCAGGGGTAGTTTTCAATGAATTTATTTATTTAGATAAAATTTTGAAGAAGCTTTTTGCCAATAAAAAATTTAAGGTATATTGAATTAATTCAATATTAAATTTGGCAATTGTTAGCATATATTATAATTAGAGATCATGATAATAAAGAGAAATGTTATCAGATGGAGATCGCAATCATGGTGAGATAGGAAGTGAGAAAATAAACCACACATGTTTAGTGTGCTTTCATATTTGTAATCAAATGCCACATTGAGATAACACACCATCTAGAAAGACGAATGTCGTATTCTACAATTGATTGATAATAAAAAAAAAGGTTTTAGAAATATCATTTTTATAAATTATTTCATATCGAAAGATGAAGAGACTATTCTACGAAGGATTTAAAAGCAAGAATGGGTATGATCAGATATGACAAAAAGAATATTATATCATCTCAAAGAAAAATAACGACATTCTACAAAGGTACTTGATAATTAAATAGGTTTTAGAAAGATTGTCTACATTTCAAGATATCTTTTCTCTACCAAAAAATAATAAGATAGGAGTTATTTTTTTTTTTAGTTATAGGTCCACCATATATACATCAAATCCTTATGGTTAATTACATCACAAAGAGAGTTAATTCTCTGGGAATACTCTTGATTAATATAATGACAAACATTTTTTAGGATTTCAAAGTTCAGACAAGGATTGAAGATTTTTTGACTTCGAAGGGGTTGGCTCAAGGTTGACTAGTTCTTTCTAGAGTTGAATGATGAAGAATAGGGAGCACTAAGATTTTGAAACTGCTCAAAAGTGCTCAAGTCTATCCTATGGTTGGATTTTAGTATTTTTAAATGAGATTTAATTTGTTTAAACTTACATTTTATTAAAAGTTGGACTTATATTAATCTTGATCACCAAATTAGTATAATGCCCAATAGGTGATGACATATTACATACAAAATCAACCTCATAACCTTGAGATAAAGTGAGTCACTACAAAGTTGTAACTCCAACCTTGTTTAATGAAATACAAAGGAAGTTATCTCTCTCCCCTAGCGAGGGTTTGAGAAAACCCAACTCTTCTAAACTTATGATCCTGTCTGGATATGACTGCCAACTAAATTCCACCTAACGCTTTAAAACTATGATATCAAGTCCCATGAAATAAAAGATGGGGTGGCTTGTTGTTTTAATAAGAAGATTGGGACTAGCATCTAAGAAATCCAAATAGTATGACCCCCCTGGTCAAGACCTCCACGGATTTCATTCCAGTTTCATCGGTGCCCTTAGCCTACTAATCAAGTGTTGATTAGAGGATTCTTGTTTAGCAACCATATGTTATCTCATCCAAGGGGACCTTGTAGACTAAGAGGGTAGGGGATCTAATCCTAGGCCGACAAATAGAAAGTGTTCATGCTTGTGGATAGTGAACCTATGTATATGTTGTCCATACAAAATTGTCGCATTTAAGCTATATATATGTTCATGAAGAGTGAAGAATGGTAAAGTCATATACAAAATCTCCTATCAGGATCATAGGTAAAGTAGGTTTTACATTATCAAATTATGTAATGGTATGAATGGAACAAATTACACAATGATATAGAGCTTAAACAATCTCAAATAGCATCATTTACCTTAGTTATTAACTTCTAGATTAAATTTTTGAAATACGAAAGATCTTGCTCAATGGTGTTATATATGATATAAATATGATGTGACTGCAGAAAGCTAGGAGCGCTGGAGTAGGTTCAACAACATTAGAGAGGGTCAATATGGAGCTCAGGCGGGAGCAGGCAGGGTGCACGGGGTCGGGACAACGTCTGGAGCCATAGAGATGGAAGTTGCCATGAGCGAGCTATTTCATGCTGACAGGTCATAGGTCGAGGAAGCACGGGATCAGAAGTCTGGTGGGGGTGCATGGCTTGGCATGCGGGAGTGCGGTACGCGAGTGTACTGCGGTGACGTTGGCGGACTAGAGAGCTTGAGGCCAGGGGCGCGCGCATGCTGCAAAGCGAGCAGACTGGTCTTCTTCATGCGAGATGCGGGATAGAAGGGCAGAGTGAGACGGAACCCTAGAGGCCAGAGGAGATCCTCCAAATGCCTCCTCCTTTTTCTTCTTATTTGAAATAAAGAAGCCACTCAAGGTGAATTAAATATTTGATATCCCATTGACCTCCATGATCATAGTCAGAGAAATTTCTTTTATTCATGCAAATAAATTAAAGATTTTCTTTCCATTTGGTAACATATACTAATATACTAATAAATTGACTTATTAAACTTCAACATTAAGATACATGTTTAAAGTAAAAGTACATATTCATTTAGATTCACATTCCTTTTCTAATACATTTTAAAAGAAGGTTAACATTTGGCATTAAGTTACTCCATATTGCTCTGCTATCTTACTCTGTTAAAGCTTCGCCCTAGTCGCTCCTCGTTAGAGTAGATTTGCTCAACTGCAGCCTTAGGAAAGTTTTCTTTCCTTCTTTGATGTTTGTTTTCTTCTCGACCTCGGGTCTTCTAAGGTTTACTATTTTCTATGATTTTTTTTAATGTTCATTTTTCATGATCGATTTGCCTTCGACTGTTCCTACTATCCAAATGATGATTAATCATGTTTGATTGAACAATCCTAATTTTTAAATGTCAAAAAGAATCTTGCCTCTTTTATTGATGTCGTTTGGGGTGCCAGTTCTTCAGTGGATTTTATGATCTTAAAAATATAACCCATTGTGGGTATCATCACTTTAATTTTGGAAGATTAGATACTCACTCTTGCAACCCCTATTGAATTCTCATTGATCGGCGAATTTCCCAGTCATAGACCTAGTTTTAGAATCGATTCAATATTTTTTCTTTAATCTTAATCTTAGCAGTGATTTCTTGGTTACCCACTTGGATTTAAGAAATGTGTGATTAAACTCATAAATAATATGGATTATAGCAGAGTTTTTACCCGTCGCTCTTACTTTGTCAACACTACTTTATGAAATAGATCAAATGGTCACCATGATGATATCCTTTCTTTTGTTAATACTTTTGCTACTGAGGAAATTGAGAGCAATAGTAAAGTTCTGGCTATTAATCCTATCTTGGTTCATGTTTCTGATACTTCTAGTAATCAATAAACTATTTCTCCTATAAATTAATTTTGGAACTTCAGTTGGTAATAAAATGTTGAATGTGGTCTCTGGTGTTGATG